TATTACTACTACTACTACTATTACTACTACTACTACTACTATTACTACTACTACTACTATTACTATTACTACTATTACTATTACTACTACTACTATTATAACTAATAATAATAATAATAATAATAATAATAATAATAATAATAATAATAATAATAATAATAATAATAATAATAATAATAATAATAATAATGAGTAATAGTAATAATAATACAAAGTACTATAGATTTTCTATCGACTTCGATTTAAATTTATTCTTTGCATTATCGTCCGAGATTCGTGTCTTCAAGACGAAGAAGAGACGTAAAACCCGCATGTCTTGGTCCATTCCAGTCAGTACGCGTCACTTGTTCGCGTGACTTCGATTCAAAAGAATTTTTATTCTTAGTAATCGTGGGAAGGAAGATTACGTTCGCGTTTTGCTGAGTTAGCGCTGATTTCATCCCTTCCTTCGTGATTTTCTATCGAGGTATAAAAATTTTTTTAGATACAATACGATTAAGGTCATATGGACAAAAAGAAAAAAAAAAACAAACGAAAAAGTTTAAAATAAAACATATCATTACACAAATAACAAATATAAATTTTTTTTAATATATACATATATACATACATGCGTACGTAGATATATTGAAATTATTTTTATTAAAATGAAATTGAAGTAAAATGAAAATATAAGTGCTATAATTCCCAGGAAGTCGCATGGAAAATTATTATTCCTGATTTATAAGATTTCCTTTTATGCATATCTACATATCTTATCCTTCTTTCTTTCTCTATTCTCGTTTCGAGATCATATCGAATAGAAATCATGACAATAAGCAACGATCGATCGTATAAAGGAATATTATCTACGACTGGAGGCTATCCTCGGAATCGTCGCGGTAGAAATCATTTCAAATCGATTCGATCGGATCGAATGGTTTCGGTATTGAATAAAATACAACATGAAACCCATGGTCTTCGAGAAACATGGCACGCGCCTTCGTTTCTACCGTTCGAAAGCAATCATTTCGAGACTATGATATAAAGCTAACCTACAATTCTGACTTGTAAATCGGGTTCAAGCGTGTGCGACTTGTCCTTTGTAGATTTTTCTCGTTTCGATGATTGCCACCGTCGTTTGACATTTTTCATGATTTTTTTTTCTTTTTTCTTAGTTTTTATTTTTTGGATTTTTTTTATTTTCCTTCAAGAGAAGGTGTACCAAATCGATAGAGTGTATCGATATTGTGTAATCGATATTATATATATATATATTTTTTCCATCTTTTTAAAACTCGTTACGAAAGAAATCTTTTTTTTTCTAGTCCATTCACTACGAAGTCGTACTCGGTAGTAACTATCGATCGATTTCTCTTATTCTTGTCGAGACAATATATCTGTCTATAAATAAATAACTGTCTATAAAAAAAAGTCAGGCAGAATCTAGTATTAAATCTTTTTAAATTGAAACATGATACATTTAATATAGATATATATGTTCCATTGTATATGTATATATGTGCATATATATATATATATATATATATATATATATATATATTTCTACACATTTATATTAAAATGTCAAATCATGATAAGAAGAAGGGTGTCTCCTCTTGATATTAAAAAAACGCCGAAAGCAGTTTCCGCGGCATATTATGACACAGAACGATCGATAACTATCAGACAGCAATTTCAAAGAACCTGGAAAGCACTCGAGCGGAACAATTGTGTGATTTAAGTGCTGGAGGGAGTCGGCACGCTTCCAGAATTTCAAGGCGGTGTTCGTCGATCGAGTCGAGATCACGACTAGGAGACTTTCGCTCGAGGAATCCATCGTGAGATCGTTAATGTTTTATAAACGATTGAGAGAGGGTGGATCGATAGTGTCCCTTTTTTGTCGGACGTCTAATCGGTGAATCGTTATTGCCGATTTACGAACGCTCCCTTCTTGTGTCTAAGAATCGAGATATGTAGCTCGATGTTTTATGTCCTCGAGTTCTCTTCTATTTCTTCTTCTTCTTCTTTTTTGTTTCTTCTTCTTCGAGTATCGAGACTTTTACAAAAGGAACGTCGCTAGCTATATGCTATGAAGAGAAGTGAATCGAGAGGAGGAAGCAAAATGTCACGATCGATAATGAAATCGTGCGGCAAGCTGGTCTTTGAACCGATCGGCCTTGCCCCTTTCCAATAAAACGCACGATAGAATACGTCCGAGCACGAGAGTAAATCGAATAGATCGGTATATATCCTTTATATACATATAGAGATATACGTACGTATATTAATTTATATTGAAATAGATTTCTTTTGTTCTTGGAATAATACGTCGGAAATAAAAATGATCGTTTCAATTACGTTATTCAAAAAAATTCTTTTTCTTTTTTATTTGATTTAATTTTATTTTCTTCCCTCCTTCTTTTTTTTTTATTTTTATGAAAATTATTCTATAACAAATAATGTAATAAAATTTCGACATTTTCTAAATTATTGTAATAATTGGAAGATTCTTTTAAAAATATTTAAATCAAAGTACCGTTTTGATCTAAGCTTTGTGAAGCTTTTCTTTTCTTTTCCTTTTTCTTTTTTTCCGATTTATATGAATTCACGACGCGCGAGGCTGCCGTTTGAGGTCATAGTTGATCTTTGCTCGATATAATCGAGTACTTTCTCCAGGGTGTATAGCAAAGCTTATAAAACCGTAGCATGGCGTGCCACGCGAGAGAGGTTCGGCTTGTCCGATCTAACACGATAAGCGGACTTGAAAACCTATTGTTAGGGCTCCATTCGTTCTCTGGCTAAATTATCCAAATGCATTCGAATACCGTTCCGCGTCGGCTAACCGTCCGTGGACGGTTCAAACGCGCACGCTAAAACGTTGTGCCGCCTCCGCCTTAGTGTTTTTCCGCTGGCCAAATGTAAGACAAATCTCTTAGGAGTCCAAACACGACGATATATATTTCCACTTTGTATAACACTATTTATATATGTATATGTATCTATTTCTCTTTCTATATCTTTCCTTGTTGTTCGCTATCTTCTTCAAAACACCCACGCAATATAATGAACTCGATCGTGATACTGATATCACGTGATTTAATAGTCTACTCGATATTTTTTCGACATACTTAAATTAACAATAACGGACCTTTAAAAGAAAAAAAAAAGAGTGAGAGAGAGAGAGAGAGAAGAGAAGAGGAAGAAACAATTATAACAAGTAAATATATTAGATACATTTATATTATGGTTTATAAAGAGATTTTTTAAATATCCTAGAAATTATTTGTACCGTTTGAAAATATAAGGAAGAGATTAGGAAGAAACGTTTGGATTGTCATCGATAGAGAAAGAAAGAGAGAGAGAGAAAGAAATACCTACACATTTTTTTCTCTTCACCAATAATCTTTCTTAACCTCTTAGTGTTAGGAAGGTAACGACTATTGATCTTATCATATTGCTTCATTCACGATACTAGCGTAACTACATACGTATTTACCTACTACTCGATTTGCATAGTCTTCCGTGGTGGACCAGAAAAAAACCCGTGTTTAATTAACTCGCTACTTCCACGAATTTCAACGTGCTCGAGAAAGAGAAAAAGAGGAAAAGAGAAAGAGGGAGAGAGAAAGAAAGAAAGAAGGAAAAAGAAAGAAAGAAAGGAAAAAAGAAAGAAAGAAAGGAAAAAAGAAAGAAAGAAAAAGAAAAAGAGAGATTCGGAGAAGAGTTACAATGCGGAAATCGTGTGTTTGTGATTGTATGCGAGTATATATGTCTGTGTAGCTAGTAGCACGCGGTAACGTGATTTAATGAGCGACGGTCCAATGCTTTTCGTGTGTTTTGGCGACAGACAGACTCTTCTTCTTTAGTTTGTTATACGAACCATGTTGAAATGTTCTAAAATCTTCTCCAGGAAACGTTTGGACGGCCGTTAAAGAGTATTTAATACGTCGCCCAGTCAATTTGCTTTACTTTAGCTCGCGATCAATTCTCTAAGCTGAGAGGCTTTGGTCGTGTTTGCCAGCGAGTCACGCTTCGCTACCCCTACACTTCGTCGTAGGCGTCTATCTCTTTCTCTCTTTCTCTCTTTCGCTCTTTCTCTCTTTCTCTCTTTCTCTCTTATTCTCTTTCTCTTTCTCCGAATATTTATCGGCTAATATACGTTTCGAGACGACAGGAGACCCTCTCTTCTTCATTTTCTTCTTCTTCTTCTTCTTGGGATACTGTTAATATCAACGTTTCTACAGAATTAATAGGAATATCAACTTATTCAAGTGAAAGTGATATATTTATATATTTTTTTTTTTCAGAATATAATTTATTTCGTGCAATATTATTGTGATCAATTCGCATGATCAAGCGAACGACAAAACTGTTAATTCCTAAATTTATTTTTCTTTTCTTTTTTTTTTTTTTTTCTTTTTAATGATTCTTTCTGTAAACATTATAAAAGAAAAGAATATAATTGATCAATATAATTAACTGATAATATTGAATTTTTCGTGACAAATTCAATTTATTTGTTTCTAATATTTTATTTATTTATTTATTTTTTACTTTTGCTTATTTAGACCACTCATTCTCATAATTAACGGTATGTAAGCAAAATAAATAACATGCGAATGAACATGTAAATGTGTGCAATAATAATACTTTCTCTCTTTGTTATATTCATACCATATCAAAGAAGAAGTTATTCTTTTGCATGATCGAGTCGTAAGATGAACGAATCTGTGGCATGCGTTTCGACATCATCATTCTACTTCCTCCTCCTCCTCCTCCTTCTTCTCGTTGAACACTCTTAGCGCAACATTCTCGTCTCGAATCTGCAAACGGATCTGGAGCGGCCTTTCACTCTCTTTCCGACTTTACATCGTGATTACGATGAGAAACTTTAAGATGAAGACCTTCAGAAGGTTGCACAAAGAAATACTAAAAAGACTTATTACGATAATAAAAAATATTATATCGTACTTGTAATATACTAGAATATATATATATATATATATATATATATATATATATATATATATAATCATACAGCCACATTGAATTGGAAAATTACTTTGAAAAGGGTATTTCGATTGTCAATGCTTTTAACGGGCGTTTTTTTATTGGCTATCCACCCACCATAAATTACCTTGAAACCATTGGTCACTCGAATGATGATTCTTAAGACTAACTTTTTTTTTCCTTTTTGGTTTTCATAGTTTTTTTCTTTCTTTTTTTCTTTCTCCTATCGTCTTTCGATGATTTACGATGGCAGCCACGTCGGCTTCGATCGCTTTCAGCGGGTTACACCTTCGGACTTAACGATCCGAAGTTCTATACTTGAAGAACTAATGGAATTAACCGGCTCGTTAGCACGGAATCGATAGGCAATTATTCGATAATATGTCGATAATTTTTCATCAACGCTGCCTGCTTATCGATTCGATTTTTATTCAATTTCAAAGGGAAAACTACTTTGCGAGATAACCACTCGTTAGATTTATAGAAACGGACGCAACAAAATTTTATTTGAGTATATACGAAATAAATTTACGATGTTTACACAGAGAAAAAGATATATATATATATATATATATATATATATATATATGTTTGTGTAAACACATATTAAATCTATCTTATGTTGAAAAGTTAGAGACATACATCGAGGCGACACTTAAAAAGAGATATTTTCCTTTCTCTCAATAACGATAAAAATAATGAGTCTTGTAGTTGTGCAGAAAAGAGAAAAAGAAAATGGAGGTGGGACAGATGGTAAGGGGAAAGGAACGGGGCTTATAACAAGTGGCGGTGGCGACGGCAGCGGCAATATTCGCAAGTATATTTTGCTTCTAACGGAGTCCCAGGCCGAACACGATTCGCCGATAGATCTGAGACGGTGCCATAAATTTCGCAAATGCATTCGCGATCCTCGTTTGGAATATTTTATGAACGGCATAAAGCACGATCTCCACGTAGGCGGATATCCTCGTGGTCAGGTTGAAACGAGCTCGAGTTTTCTATTGAATGTTCGACAAGATTTTATTTATATATGTATGCGCATATCTCTATATGCGTATACTGATTTATTTCTAATACTCTAAGAAGCTGCATTCTACGATATATTATAGGACGTAGCTACCATGGATATTATTATAATTTTTGCCGAAATCTCATTAGATCGGATCATGATGAAACGGTATTAAGCGTGTAACGGACGATCTGCTAAAAAAATGGTAAATAGAACGAAATTATTTCAGGATATGCCGCATAATCTCATCGTTCCAATCATCTTCTACTATCACCAACGATGGCGGTATCTTCTCAGGATCGTTCTTCTTACCCGACGATATCGAGAACATTAAATTGTTGCTGCTCAATGTAACAGACATTTGAGACTCTGAAAGAAATAAAAGAAAGAAATAAAAATAATTATATAGAAAATAATTTCATAGTTTAATGAGGTATACTTATCCTATTTAAATGAGATATATGTATGTTACTGTTCGTTACTTTGATCTGATCAATTCTAATAGAGTACGAACCTTGCGACGAGTGTTCCTTCGATACGAAATTTTTTATTTTATTCAAGCAATTGAAATAAAGTAATCTTTCACGAAATTTCGGTGTTGTGAAAGTATACAAGAGAGGATTCACAGCACTGTTTACGGGAAGTATAAATACGACGATCCAGGCGTGAAGTTCCGCTAGAAAGGAAGCATGATCTTTGGAAGATCTAGAAATGATCGATGAAATATGTCGGTATAGTAAATTGAAAGTAATCATAGTGCCTAGTTCGTTACTTTTGTCCTGTGTTCCTTTCAACAAGAATATGACTATTCATATATCATATTAAAACGATATTATCATTGTTATTATCGTCGTATATGAGAAAATATCTTTTGAAGAAATCTTTCTGAAGGAGAATGAAAGAATCTTATGAAAGCACTATCATTACTATTTTACATATATCACCATGATAGAAAATGAGATAGGTTTATATATACCTGATACAGGATATTTCATCATGGCCAAGATTTTCAGAACGATAATCGGTGCCCAACAAGTTGCGTCCGTTAAGACGATCAAGAAGAATCTTAAAGCAAATTCCATATCGCCAATTGATAATGGGGTTGCGTGACGAGTTTTCCAAATGCTTGCAAACATGCCAGCATAAACGTATCCGATGGTTATCAGCCTGTGTATTTTAATTAGGTTTCAATGAGAGTATCGTTAATCGAAATAGATTAAATCGTATAAACTCGAGTTCCGTTGATTAACTAACGAATTACTTTCTAACGGGATATTGTCGACTCTTACCCCAACAAGTTAACTCCTAAAAATATGAATGCGGAATATTGCCATCCGATTGAGTAAGGATCGTCTATGTGCAAAGGAAAACACATACCATTTGCCCCGTAAAATCTAGTGCTGTTTCTCCATAGAATAACTGTGTAATGTTATTACCATTTAAATTATTTGATTGGAAAGAAATAAGAACAATGATGCACCAATTAGTTCCAAATGACATATCTATATAGTTAGTATAATCGATAATAATTAATATAATATAATATAATATAAAAAAAGAGATGGTACTTAAAAGAAATATCCTTTTAAAAATAATATACGAAGAATTTAATTAAACGACAAATTATATTTTACGTTGGTCATAAGCATGAAGAAAGTAAAAAAGAAAGAGAGAAACAAAAATAAGGTTATTATAACTCAACGAATAATCTATACGAGCATTGCATGTATTATAAGTGTGTTTATATACCTGGAATAACAGCGAGTATAAAACCGGTGATCCATATAAACATCATTGATGCCGCTGCTGTTAGTGGCCTCATAGCATGATGACCTTTCAACGGTGCGGCAATCAGCACGAATCGTTCAACGGACATAAACGATAGGATAAGCACTGATACCTTAGAGATCGTTTCAAAGTTTAATTAGTTAGATATTTATTTAATTGAGAGAAAAAGTGCCTTTGTTTTCTCTTTCGTCTTTTATCTGGATTTCATGTGATTAAGTGTTTAATAGTTACATATATATATATATATATATATATATATATACACACACGCTTTATATCTATTTTAATTTGTATACTTTTTAATTCAATAATAACGAAGAATGTAAAATCGCTTGGTAACCTTTGATAAAAGTTATTACTCATAAATAACTATTTTAGAAAGATTTATATAGGAATTACGACGTTCTTACTTCTGACGAGATCATCGCTAAAACTCCGAGAAATGTGCACACCCAAGAGGACATCCATGAGCTAGCTTCCTTATTGTAGTTATCACGGAACTGCAAGTCTACCAGAGCGATTATGAACAAGTATACGCCCATCAGCATGTCGGACACTGTAAAAGGGATTACGCACAATGCTATTGCTATAGCCAACGGTTCTATGATTTATAGTTGGGTTCATATCGTTGGTGGATCATCGTTACGCCGCCGTTGTAAATCGTATCGGTTAATAATATCACGAAGCGTAGAATAGTATTCTATGCCGACGCATATAGCGTTACATACCTTTTATTATAATTTTTTCTTTTTTTTTTTTTTTCTTTTATTTATTTTTCTTTTTTCTTCAATAATTTATTTCATCGTTTGAAATTGTATTCGGACTAATCAATAGCTATTCAATATATTTTATTTATTAATATATAGAATATTCTATTTTAATTATTATTATTGATAATCATGAAAGATCATCAATGATTTTTAACAATAATAATATTTAATATAAAAAAATAAAATAATATAATAAAAAAAATATATATATATTAAAGAGAAATTATTGATTCATATTAAATTTGATGTGATAATGATCAAATAATATTTTTAGTAAAAATATTTTGATTACGAACCGGCTAGATTTCTAATCAGGATACTCAAAACACGATTTTCATCCTTCGCTGTGAATCGTTCCCAAAGTACAAGAGCATTGCCTATGAATGTTACGCAAGATATTCCCCAGACTGCACCCTTCAACATAGACGTGCCTAGCAAGTGTGACAACGACGAAAGACCTTTTTCCAAAATACAGATAAATGAAGATATGATTTTTTTTTTTTTAATTGTTGCAAATTGTAACTTACCGTCACTGGCTGGCGAACACTTTTGTACTTTCGATGCAAACATCATACAATAATAAAATTTTTTGAAGTATCTGTAAAAAAAAGAACGAGTAAAAGGATAAAAACAAAACGAAGAAATAAAATTACATTCATAATGATATGAGTTAACGTACATAAAGTCCAAATTGTTAAACACGTTGAACGAATCCTTGTCTAGATTGTCCATATTAATCTCCTGGACGCCGCTGGAATAAAAAGAATAAAAAAATATTTATTTGAAAAAAAAGCAGGATATTGGAACCGAAATTGGATGTAATAACAAACGGATAAAAGATAAAATCTTAAAGTGAACTCGGGTAAATTTGTTTCAGAAGCCTTGATTTAGATGATTAATTGAAGAAAAAGAAGAAAAAACGAAATAAATTTGACTAATACCCAAGTTCGAGAAGGAACAATTATAAAAATGAAATAAAACTTACAGTGATCGTAGATTCATTAAAGGAAACAATACATCCATAGAAAAATCCTCGATCGGGTTATAACCGATAAATCTGCAATTACGAAGGCTTTGATAATCCATTAAAAAGAAAAAACAAATATTAAGATCAAGAAAATTCATAAAGAGGTTGTTTTTATTAGATTAAGATACGTGACGTTATATTTAATCGTAACTTGCGATAATATACACCAGGATAAGTACAAGTAAATACGCTTGCGGCACGTAGAGGATTTAATATGGTTTACTTACAGTTTCGTGAGATTTATCGTGGCTTTAAATACGTTCAAATGCAAAGATATGATGTGATTATGTGCCAATTTACTGGAAAAAATCATTTTTTTATCGTAATTTATTAATATCACGATATTATGACGGTATAAAACCATATTTCGAATACTTACAGCTCAAGAAGTTGTTTTAGATTCTTAAAAGCATTCTCATCAATGGTCTTTATGTGATTATGTTCCAAGTTCCTATATAAAAATAATTATTTTTTTTGTTGTTTTAATAGAGGCACATAGTAATTTGTTTAATGATAATACTTACAACGATTGTAAAGCAGGCACACCCTTAAACATGTCCGCTGTGATGCTCTCGAAATGATTCTCACTCAACATTCTGCAATGTTACTTTAATCTACGTATAACGAGGTATAAGTCATCGTTATCAGTTATTAAATTTAATAAAGGGTCTTCGAAGACTTACATTTCTCTTAAAACCGGCAATCGTGGAAGCACGAAGTTGGTTGTGTTTAAAAAATTCTTACGAAAGTCTCTGAAATACAAATAGTTTAGATCTCGTTTTTATGAATTTTATATGTATGTGTGTATATAGATATAGATAGAAATCATTTAAGTTAAATAATATGTAATTACCTACTTACATCAAATCCATAGCCGAACTATTTTCGAAATCGGATAAATCAGCTGCCACCAATCGATTATCCTTGGCCTTGAGAATTTCCAAATTAATTAGACCAGCGAAATCGCCAACTTCGAGAACGTTTAATTTATTGTCCGATAGGATACTAGTGGAGAGATGATATTTATTACATAGTATTTATCGTTAATAACTGCAAATTCTAGATTTTTACTTACAGCCAAATTAAATTTGCTTGATTTACAAAGGCTTCTTCCTCTATTTCGTTTATATCATTATTATCAAGATACCTATAAAATTTAGAATATAATAATAATAAAAAACAGGGAATAAAAAAAAAAATAACTTACAACAAATGTAGCTGTGTATATCTCGTAAGTGCATTGGCTGGAATACTTCTTATGGAATTGTTAGTTAAAATTCTAGGAAAAAAAAATTACGCGTTCAATATGTTTTTTCTTCATACAATAATAAAATAAACGAAGAAAAAAAAATCGTACAATTGATTGATTCCCGACGACAAATTCCGTGGGATTTCTTTATATCCTTTGCAAGTCGCATGACATTGATTGTAAATACATCCTATGGGAACGTTCACGATCTCTACAAAAAGATACTTAATTTTGTTAATAGATGATACGAAAGAAAATTTCACTAAGATAACATTGATTACCACAATCTTTATCCTGATTCTTTCCAAGTTTATCCTGTTTCAAGAACCAACTCCAATCTTCGTTTAAATCGACTGTAATGGGAAAGGATCGTTTAGCTCGTTAAAAGACATTGAAAGTGATTATTTTTATTATCTTTTTCTTTCTGTTTTATTTTTTCTTCGTTACATCGCAACTTACTACACAACTCAGCTGATTCATCGTCTTCATACGGACAATCCTTTACTCCGTTACACCAACTACTTTGTGGTTTGCAAATTGTACTATTCAGACAAGGAAATGTACCGATTGGACAGTTATCTATAATCAGGATTTGAATAATACAGTTGAGTAATAAAATCATTAGTTTTTTAAGTATATTAATAATCAAATGATCACCAATATCGACTTATGATGTATTTAAATTTCTCATTATTTTTCTTGATCAATATAACAGATAATCAACAATAATCAGATAGTCAATTTAAAAAAATCAATTTTTAATCAATTTACCGTCCATCATCGTTGTAAGAATCGACTGTGAATGATTCGTCGATCCTACAGAAAGTAAGATTAAATTAAGTTAATAAGATTGATTTATAGAAATGAATTCGATTCGTGTCTAAGTCAAATATATTTTTTATCATTAAAATATAGTATTATTCCATTTCATTTGATTACTAACTGGCTTTTTCAAGTAATCGATCGTACAATTACATCAGACTTTTTGTCCTGAGGGGTGTTTTTATCTAATCGAGAATAGTTCGAAACGTTTTAAATCTCGAAAAACACTATACACGTAAAAGCAATCTCATATAACTCTTATATATGTTTCTCAAAAGAGAGAGAGAGAGGGGGGGGGGGGGAGAGGGAGAGAGAGAAATATGAAACAGATTATATAAGAATATAAAGTAATTCGTATTTATGTGAAATATTAATTATTATACTTACTTTGATTGAAGTAATACATAATTAAGAAGAGCATGAAGAAAGTTAGGATCAAGGACGCACCGATAGCTGTAACCCTTCGGTATATCATCGTTTGCTAATGGTAAAATTTTTCCCTGAAGATACTCTTACAATCCCGAAAATTTTTTTATCGTTAAAATCAAGACGATCTATGATATTGATTATCACTACTCTCGCCGATTTTTATTCTTCCACGTGTTCGATTTGCTCTCGACAAAAGACCGTATAACACTGGTTGCATTCGTTTCTTCGTTGCAAACTCCAAGTCGCACGCACACGCGCTCTTCATCCTCTTGCAAGTCCTCCTTCCTTTCTCGACAATTCGCATGATTTCATTGCAAATTTTGTCAATCGATCGATCGTACAATTTTTTATTTTAAATATATATGTGTGTGTATCATTTTATCGAAAACGATGCATTTTCACTTCTTCACAAATTTATTTTTAGTTTTCGTTTAGAAATCTTTCTACTTTGTCCACTTTCGATCTTTATATCCGAAGGTAAACATTTAAACTCGATTGGTTGCATTTAATCACTATATCTATAGAAGATATAACGGTATATGAGATAACATTATGTGTGTTCTTTAATATATATATATATATATATATATATATATATATATTGTATATATAATATATACTATATCATTATATATATATATAATATATCATTATATATATAATATATCATTATCGAAGACAATAGTAAAATATCTCTAAATTTATATCTTTAATATCTTATATATCTAAAATATCTTTAAACTTAATATATTTTCAAAATCGTATATATTTTTAAAAACGAGAAAACATTTTATTCATATATTTGATGATGTTTCGTCACGAACCACAACATAAGAAAATAATTTTTCCGCGATACTTTTAACGATCGTCCGTCTTTCACGATTATTACAGCACGTTTCTTCCGAAACGAAAAACTTTTGTAAGAAATTACATTTCACTGCACGTGTAAATCTCTTAGTTCGTGCCGACGCATAAATTATTCATTCGTATTCGGTTATTACTCGGATAACTTCACGAAGACGTATGAAACTAACTCAAGAATACGTAAACGATTCGTTAATAAAGAAACTTTATCGATCATATATAATAACGTACCAACCTATCGATACTTTTTTCTTTATTTTCGACGAAGGTTTCTTTTTAAGACAAACATCAAAAATGTTTCAGTCTCTCTGCGACCTTCGACGAGCAAAGTATCTCTAGAATCTTAAATCAATTTTATTAATTACTTAGTATATATAGATATAATAAAAAGAAAAAGAAATAATCATTATTATATTAAAAAAAAAAGGAAGAAAAAAGACAAACGAATGAAACAAAAAATATGAGAATAGAAAGATGCACGAAATTGTTTTACGACGAGGAAGTATTAACTTGGAGTAAAAGGCTTCTAACGTTACCAGGACTTTGGCCAGAAAATCCTAATGATTTCCGATTTTTTTTTTATGTAGTTTACGTTATCCTATTCACTAGTCTAGAACTCGTTGGACTTTTTCAAAGTTTGCACGATCTCGACAAAACGCTTCGAAATGTGACGCTTTCCTTACCAACGATATTGATCATCTTAAAAGCTTTAATGTTTCGATGGAAAATGCATCTCGTTTTACCAATCTTGAATATTGTCAGGAGAGATATATCACGAGGATTATATCAAACGGATAATGAAAGAGAAAGAATTGTTTGGTATAATATGGCAGCTACTATGTTTACAACATCCTCGGCAATGTCCCTTTTCTTCGTTCCCACCTTGTTTTACAGCAAACCAATTTTCGAGTGTATTCTTTCCAGTAAGATTCCTTTTGTAATATTATCTATGTATATATATATTCATCAAACTCGTTAAATGGAATCTTTTTCGCGTGATTATAGATCTAAAAAAATGATCAATATTATAAATTCGATTTCGATTAAACGTGGTTAGCTTTAAATTTCTTAGTTCTTATTTTGTCTCCTTTCTTTCTTTTTTTTTTTTTTAAGAACACAAGGTTATTACTGCAATGATAATGATCGACATGAATATCTTTCGAAAATAATATAAATCTCACTTTGTTGTTTTTCACAGGTTTCGATAATTGCACGCTCCCGTATGAGTTACCAGTACAAGTAAATTACGTTTACGAGGTGACAGATGTGCGTAAGTACGCGATGTTCTGTATCTGGTTGATACCGGCCAGTACTCTGTTAACCGTAGGTGCAACTGGCGCGGACAGTCTTCTCGTCACTTTGACATTTTATCTATGCGGACAATTATCGATTCTTGGAAATCGTTTGAAAAACGTTAATCTAGAAATGGGAAAGTATCATTGCGAAATGAAACTTCTGATCGATCGACATGCTGAACTCGTAAGGTGAGATTTGATTTTGTTAGAGAGTAAGAGAAGAAAATAAAGAAAAGAAAAGAAAAAAAAAAGAACGATAAGATAAAGCAAACGTGTTAAATTTATTTTTATTTTTAGTTCTTCGGCGATTAAACATCATCGACGATATATATATTTTCTTTCTTATTTTTCTTCTTTCTCTCTCTCTCTCTCTCTCTCTCTCTTTCTCTTTTCAAATTGTACTACAATCCTCTATGAGCACTTTTCTAAATTCTAAACATTTTTTAATTCGTTTAGAAAATTACGAGATAAATGAAATCGTAGAACTGTTCGTTTTTTTTTTTTTGGAAAAATTAAAACGAAGAATTTCGAAGATTTTAATATTTTTATTACAGGTTGGCTATGATTTTAAAAAATGCCTTCAGTATTTTAATGTTCGTGCAGACGTTAGGTTTAATATGTTCTCTCTGCGTTGTGGTCTATCAATTACTAACGGTAATTAACAATAATCTGTATATAGATATGCAGAGAATTTATAGAATAAATGAAATTCGATGACTAACTATAGATTTTGATAACTATAGAATATCAATATCGTTTTATTTTATTAAAAATTTATATAATGTAATGTTTAATAAAGATTACTATTTTTTCATTAATTCATAGAATGAGAAATGAATATGAATAATTTAAAAATTTGAATGAGTTCTGCCACGATCTGACATAATTCATTACATTTACATTTAATAAAATATTTAATATTATTAAATAGAAATATATAATTTTATTTAATAATCATATTATTGCGAATTATTAGAAATAATTTTATTGAATACTTACATTTTATAAAATATTTTTTCTAATAAATCATTTGTGTTTTTGTGTATGTATGTGTGTATGTGTATGTTTAGACGTCAGAGAATAGTAAGGATCTAAATACGGTACACTTCGTCTTATATTCTTGTGCAGTCATACTTCTGGCGTTTTGTTATTGCTTTTTAGGAGAGTGTTTGATCGAGGAGGTGAGTTTTCATTCTTAGTAAAATGAACAAGATCAATGTCAGAGTTCAATTTTATTTTCAGAGTAGCGCCATAGATTTGGGTTGTTACCTTACGAATTGGTACGAATTACCCGCAAAAGAAATACGTTCGATGATGTTTTGCATAGCTCGATCGAGAAGACCGTCTTATCTAACAGCTGGGCAATTCTATATTTTTTCTCTTGAGACGTTTGCAGTCGTAAGTTCGAAGAATTTTTTGTTTTTTAACAAACAAAAAATTACACCTGCTTTTGTTTGTTTTTATATGTTATATCTTATTTTATAGATCATGAAAGCTTCTATGGCGTATCTCTCGGTTTTAAGGACCATAACATAACAATTGTAAATTTAGATCGAATTTTCTGCTTGTTAAAAATAAAGTACAATACATGTATATATGTTTTTATATGTGTATATACAATTTTCACTATAATTTTTCTATAAATTCGTAGGATAATAGAACGATGAAAGAATAGGAGAATAGGGGGAAAAAAAGATCAACGTTCTTCGCATTCCTCCAGAATTAAACCCATCGATCCTTTCTCTATTTTTTCTAATCGTGATCGATTCTATAAGAATGCGATCGAGACGTCTTTTACTCAGTTGTTTCCTTTTTTTTTGGCTGAAGGAACTAAGAGAAAATTTATTTTTGTTTATTTCAGAAGTGTATACATACAGTGTACAGTTTAGCGAGCTAAAAAAGATGAATTTTTTTGTGCTTCTCGATAAATAATTCGTTCCGTTTCTATTGCAATAGTTCGAAGCACGTTGGATTTTGCCGACGTTATTTCTACTTGGTGAACTTCGATTCGTTATAAATGATAATAATAATATAATAATATTAATATTAATAGAAATAATAATAAAATATAATAATAATAATAATAATAATAATAATAATAATAATAATAATAATAATAATAATAATAGAAATAATAATAATAATAATAATAATAATAATAATATTAATATTAATAATAATAATAATAATAATAATAATAATAATAATAATAATAATAATAATTAATAATAATTAATAACTTCTCTCGTACGTACGATGTGCTCGATAAATCAATCGAGCCGTGTGGCATTGTCGTTACATTTAGAACACTTTGTTTGAACATTTTTGACGACGCTAATTAATGTTACACATTTGTTTGTTCATTTGTTGTGTGTCGGTTTTTTGTTTGTTTCATTTCCATTTTTCCTCTCTTTCTCTCTCACACACACACACACCCACACACCCACACGCGCATACACGCACACACGCAAGCATTATCTCTCTCACTTGTCATTTCGCCGTCTTTCGCATGCTAAATATGTATCACAATAATATCGTATAAATCTTTCGTAGAAAAGAAATCGTGCAAAGGATTTATCTAGCGCATCGTACACGATACAAACGATTTACAAATGTTTAACATCACGATATCGAATCGATTAAATTATTTTGTTCTTATGATTTTATTCATTCATAGTTTCGTGAGTTTGTGCGAATGTGTGATACGCACAACAAATCTAGATGCACGCATTCGCAAAAATTTCACTCATACTTTATTCTCTCTCTCTCTCTCTCTCTCTCTCTCTCTCTCTCTCTCTCTCTCTCCCCTCCCTCCCTCCCTCTCCCTCTCTCACACACATACACACGTAAAATCGTATTTTTAATCACCGCAAACTTTGTGTATGTCCTCTGTGTGTTGTTCGCCATGTATTTTATGTATATGCATTATTATTAATTTGTATGTCTCTCCATGTCCATATGTGTATATATACATATATATATATGTGTGTGTGTGTGTATATATATATGTATATAAGTATATATATATGTATATATGTATATATGTATATATATGTATATATGTATATATATATGTATGTACATATACATATATATATATATATATATATATATATATATATATACCTGTACGTAATACACATATCGAGTTTAATCGTATAGTTTGTGTTATGTACTGTAATATCATACGTGTATATATGTATGTATGTATGTATGTACGTATGTATGTATGTATGTATGTATGTATGTATGTATGTATGTATGTATGTATGTATGTATGTATGTATGTATGTATGTATGTATGTATGTATGTATGTATGTATGTATGTATGTATGTATGTATGTATGTATGTATGTATGTATGTATGTATGTATGTATGTATGTATGTATGTCTGCATTTGTGTGTGTAATAGTTAGATTTATAAATACAAGGACTATGTCCGACGCAATCTAGGCGAGACACGAGATCGTGCTGTATGTGTCGGCTGCTACATATGTGATAATGTCTCGCAAAAAATTCATTTAATTTTGTTTTGTATGTTTCGTACACTGAAAAAAAAGAGAAAACTTAGATTCATCTTCAGCACTTTTTTCGCTTTTTTTCTTTTTTATAGAAGAGATGGAGGAAGGAGCCTCGTCGAAAAGAAGGATGAGAATATGGTGATACGGTAATGCTGAATGGTAGTGGTGTAAGAGTACAACGCTTCTTCACTAATTAAATAAATCGAAAGCCTTGTCGTCGTAATCTTGGCAAATAGACGACATTTTCTGTAAGGGAATTGATATAGACGAAAGGATGGATGGTTTGAAGATGTGATACAGACATGTCTATTTTACGTTCCATTTATTTTACAATGTAATAATAACGTCACGAAGTAAAGCGAAGAAACAAGAATATAAAAGAATAAATGGAAAGAAAAGAAATTTTTAAGTTACGTTATCGAACGATGTCTCAAAAAGAAAAAAAGAAAAAAAGAAAAAAAAAAAGAAAAAGAAAGAAAAAGAAAAGTAAATAATAAAAAAGAAATAAAATAAAAATATAATACAAGTGAACTACGAACTTCGTTAACATTTTTTTTCACGAAGACGAGATGTATGTACACGAAGTTTCTGTTGTTTTACAAACAATTGTTAGAATAAATCTTAATGACGATAATGAAAATATAATTAAAATTGTATAATTTCTACGAAATTATAAAACAAAATTTATCGTAATATAAATAGCATAATCTCATTCTATTTTTTCTTTGAATAGATTCTCTTTTAGGCTCTTTTTATAATTAGAATAGTCGTCGAGCAAAAATAAAAAGGATCAATTCTTAATTTGTAGAAGTATGTTGAAATAAGAAAGAAAAGAAAAAAGAAAAGAAAAAAGAAAAGAAAAAGGAAAATGAATAAAGAAATATTATGTGATGCATAGTTACATATTTATAACTGTGAGGAAAAGAAATATATATATAAATATATAAATATATAAATATATAAATATATGTGTGTGTGTGTGAAATCGAAAAATGATAGGGGGTGAGCTCTTTCTTTTTTTGCGCTTTACAGTACAACGCGATAGAGTACTGTAAAATGTTCTATTGTTTTTTTTTCTTTCTTTTTTCTTCTTTACATTCATACTAATCGTGAAAGTACTAAAACATTAAATATTTCGAGACGTTTAATTATTGACATGTCTTTAACACAGATTTCAAGGAATGAAAGTGTATGGTTGGAGAGGATTGGAACTAATGGTTGTAACTATAAATAACTAAGGACTGAAGGCAGTTTTAACATCTGACAAAAAACCTATCAATGATAAGTGATGTGAATTATACAGATGCCTTATTTTACAGTTAGAGCTGTACGTTCATTTTTGGGAATAAAGACTAAAAAGCGATTTTATATGAAATTTATTTGCGCAACAGAATATTTAGCAAAATAGTCAATGGTCTACTTAAGATGTTTCATTTACAGAACCGTACGAAGTTCGCTCACATAATATTATACTTATAGTTCCTGTAAATGAAACATGGATGTATTATGCCAATGCCAATGATTTCTGATCACAGCATGACGATTTCATCGTAGAGACCATATTACATAGAAAATAAAGAAACACAAAAGGGGGGAAAAAACCTGCGCTTACATAAAATAATATTTGATCTTAACTTACACTGCAATATCTATACAAATTATACTAAATTAAGAAAAGAACATCGTGTCATTATATTTCTAAAGTTGAAACGCGACACGAATAATGTTATAGCTTTGTTACAACAACAAAGGAAAGCTAAGACATTATTTGTAATGTCAACTTTAGAAATATAAATTTTCTTTTCATAGGACGTTATTTGACTATTTACAAGAGAGATATTTTTTCTTTTTATTTTTTGCTTTTTTTTTCTTATTTATTTCTTTTATTTCTTTATCTATTTCTTTTTTTTTTTTTTTATTTTTTTGAAGCTAAATTATAAGCTTGGCACGTTTTAAGAAATAGCAGAAAAAAGACGAGTACTTATAAATCTATGAGCTAAAGAAATGTATTGTGTACAAGAATATACTTCTCTTTGCATAAGTAATATTGCTATTTTTCTTCTACTTTAATGCATTTCCTTAGACTTTGAACTGTCTTTTTTATGCGGCCAAGAGATATACCTTAAGAGATATGTACAAAATGGAATAAAAAAATAAAAATATTAGTCCGAAGGGCAGCGATAAAATTTTCACTTAGTCATTAAATCAAAATCGTTATGTTTAGCGATCGAGTGAAAACACTGACACTGGCATAATCGTACGGGCTTTTTTCGTTCCTAATTGCTCCCATTGACTCGTGACGATAATTCTATAAACACTAAGATTATAGCGCGTTTTTCACATATAATCGCTTATCGATCGATTCCAACGGGTAGCTAATCCTGGTTGTATGTCTGGTCTGTCTGTCTTTCTTTATTTCTTTCTGTTTTTTCTTTCTTCAATGTATAATGTTGCTTTGCTTTATGTAACGTGGGACACTTATTGTGAACAGTGGATGGTTTTGCGTGAAAAGTGCTTACAGTCTAGATGGCCCAGAAGAATATCTGTGGATCGGTGTGAGGTAGTAACTTTTTAGTGGTCAAGTACATACATATCCTTCTTGCGCCACTGTAGATGCGTTAATAGGCCCTTCCTGTAACATTTGAATTAATAAAACATGTATATATATATGTATATGTTTATACGTATGCATATATATATATATATACATATATATGTATTTATGTATGTGTATATATATGATATAAAGCATATAGTTTTACGTAGCGACGTATTTAAAAAGCGTACGAAAGAAGCGGAAGAGTTGGTAACGTCTTATTTCAAACATCCGCTCCTTACCTTCATCTGTAGATAATTTCTATCGCGTATCAACGTAACCCTTCCAAAATAGTTCTGAAATAATCTGACCTACTATTCTCTAGATTTACATGTAGTTACCTAATCCTGTTTTATGATGTCTATTGTTCATTATATGTACAATGTCTTACGTCCTTAGCAGTTGTTAGAGTCTGTTTGTATTCTTCCAAGCTAAACCCAGAGTTGCTATCGTCTCCGCATGATTGAACCACTAATGACCCGTCTTCCCCCTGAACATTTTATTCGAACGTACGGTATACAGACATAATACTCTGGTAATACCACCTATCTCTATCACTCTATCAGAAGTACAACGTACCTGAGTTACTTGTTGGTCGTTTTCATTAACTTTTCGTTTTTTTGAAAACGTTTCGAGACTTTGATCCGATGGTCTCTTTCTACTGGTGACCTGGTCTCCTTGGTTTCTTGGGGAAACGCCACCATTGTTTCCGTTGCCCGCGATGTTTCCATTTCGGTGAACACCACCGGACACCTGAACAAAAAATGCATATCTTTGTGAAATGAATTGTGATTGATGAAAGATGATTTAAATCCATAAAGTATCAAGAGAGTGCGAATCAAATACAAACCTTTCTTTCTCTCTTTAATAATGAAGGAGAGACGTATGTGTTCAAGTCTCTCCTTTTGACATGCTTCGCTTCTATCCACATGCCTTCCTTCAGCATTTTTATTAATTCAGCTTGCCTTTCGACTGAAATTGTAATAAAGTACGAATTAATTAAAAATGCATAATATAATAATTGTACTATAGTAAAATTCTTAACAATAAGATGTGATATTACTTACTTGCCTCTACGAATGATTTTATGTCAAGTGTCAGGTCAACATTTAAATTTTCACTCTTCGCGAAGAGCAAACCGATGAACCACATTGAACATTGTCTCTCTGGCTCTGGTTCCAACGGTGGGAAAGCTTCAGGATTAACATGTGCCAGAGTAATGTGTGGATTTCTTTCCAATGTTCCTGTTTAAAAGAGTTAGGATTTTGCCAGATTGGCATCCGAGAATTATTAGTATTGAAATAATAGGAATAACGATAATTATACTTTTATATTTACAATTATATCAATAAATACATCACAGATTAAGACGGTTTTATTTTTACGCTTTGTAGTTGCTGCATATAATCCTGTGATAAACTAATACGAACATAAAACAGAGCTATTTTGGAAAATGTTTGAAATAATGAACTTTGTCAAATTTTATGTCAATTAATGAATAAAAACAATTAAAAAATATCAATAAAATATCTTTTACGTAAATATTTACTATATCTATAATTATATATATAAATATATATCATCTTACCTATTAGATGACGTATTTTGGATTCGACCAGTCCAGACCATTCAAGTTGATCTTCTGGTGTTAAACTTCTTGCCAACAATACAATGTAGTGTTTGTATTTATAGAAAAAATTTGGAGGTTCGAACAATTTGTCCCAAGTTGCTTTTCCCATAATAATTTCTTCCGTTATAGATAAGCCAGTTTCAAAGGCTTCTTGCATGATAGTCCTGGTTGACGCGGAGACATTGAATGTTGAATTTTGTTGTGGGTATGCCGGAGTAATTATGGGCATTAAATGATATCTATCAGACATATGTACCTGTAAAATTTATATATATATATATATATATATATATATATATATATATATATACATATATACATACATATTAACATTAAATTATGTATATATATATATATATATATATATATATATATATATATTAACATTAAAGCTATCTACCATTTTTTTCTTGAACAGTGAAAAAAATAAAATATTATAATTATAATATTTTATATTTTATAATTGTAACAGTTGCCATAAGAGCATTTATTGAGATAAATGAGATTACTGTGTAGAAAAACATTAGAAAAACTGAGATACTTACTCTTGGATCCCATACAGTAAAGCCTAAATTAACAGTATCGGGTTGTTTTAAGAGGACAGGTTGTGGCCACTTCCATTGAGAGAATACAAGAAAAAATTTTTCTATTAAAGTTGCAGCTACAGCATTAGGATAAAGTTGACACGTACGAGCAACTAGCATTGCCCAAGACACACCACCAAGATATCCTAATACATTACTATATATTCCGTGTCCTGAAAAATATGAATATAAGTGAAAACATTTAATTTGTAATTTTTATTATAAAAATCTTAAATACATAATTACTATTTATACACTTACTTTTAGCCCATAATTTTATAGCTCTAAGTGCCAATCTGAAATTTTCTATATTAGGTACTAAACGTAAGATTTCATCTGTCACTCTACATCCATTTAAACTTCTCACGCATTTCGGATCAAGATTTTTTAATAACATATCATCCCTGAGATCCTGTAAATAAAATATATATCTTAATTAATATTTTTCATATAATATAAATTTAAATTAAAATTTTTGTTATAAAATTGATAAATAACATACCATAGTGTCTGGGATTTCTTTTAATGCTAACTTTGCGAATAACATGTCAATTTCAATGCCATCAAAATTCATTTTTATAACGGGTACAAATGCTTCTTCTACAGCCTACAAAAAAAAGCAAATATTAAATAATTGTAAAAAAAAAAGAAAAATCATTGTAAACACAATACGACAGCAACGTCATAACAGTTTTTTTTATAAACAAGGAAATTACAGTCTTTCTAAGTCTTTTATACAGTATTTACTACTCTGTAATTACATGAAAAGATAAAATTTACATAAATATAATATTAAATAGCAATCATATTATTAATTTTACATACCCTTAAATCTGTGACCTCTTCTTGCATTTTCAATAAATCAAAAAAGGATGAAAAATAATCGGACCTATTTATGTGCCTTGGGACAACACATAAGGCATCAATATCAGCACCTTTGTGATGAACACCTAACCTATATGAACCAAAAGTGTATATTTTTCCGCCAACTTGATCTGCAACATTAGGTGGCATATTTCTAGCAATACTTTCATCTCGAATCCATTGCTTTACCAAAGCATTTAATTTGCTGTAAAATTACCAAAACATTTTAATAACAATATTTATTCAATATTTATATATTTATTCATTAATTCAAATGAACTTTACCTTAATATTTCCATTCTATGATTTAATTCTTCTTCAGATTCAAAGACATTATATGGTTTTAATGCTTCCTTCAATTCATTTGTTCGAATAAGATCACTAGGCTTCGGTTCAGCTACACTAATAGCGGACGTCATTCCCAATGTACGAAGATTCTTTTCACTGGACATACTGTTGGTATTAGATTGAACTGGTTGGGTTGGCCACATTTTGGATGTATTACTTCTTGTAAGATTCTGTAAAAGAAAATAATTGATTTTGTATAAATAGTCTAAAACATTTTCTAACATAGATATTATCTGAAACAAAAGAGAGAAGTATATATAAAAAAGGAACAACCAAATCTTTCAAATAGAATTTAACATGTATACACGCAGAATACATCTATTATAATGGGATATTTTTTTAAGAAGCTTTATTATTACTCTATCATTATTAAAATGTTGAACAAAAAGCATAATATTCAAATCTATTTAATTCAATTGAATTGTACCTACTATGAGATAAAAAGAATCAGCGAGTTCCTGATTCTTACCGCTTATTGTTCTGTCAAAGATACAAAGACATGTTGAAGATAAAAAGCGAACGTTTTGATCGCGTTGTCAGGTTATAAAAACCCGAAATGCCTGCATTAAGGAAGCATAGGGCCCCTATAAATGATCTCAGCCAATTCCTGAAAAGGTAATTGTACTCCTAGCGTAAAACGCAGGTTCTTAGGATGTCGCTTAATCACGAACCAATGTGAAGAAGTTGTAAACAAATTAAAAGGAAGCAACAAGAATTCATAAAGAACGATGTCCGCAGTTCGTAGATCGTTCGCGTCGGACATGCATTCGAATGCGCGAATAAAAGAAAATATTCGAATTTTTTTCGTGATATCACACTGTTCACTTCAAGCCACCCTGTAAACACCCAAGACTTCTTCTACTATCCTTAAAGAGGTAAATAAATAACGTAACGGTTTCTTATTTTTTCTTTTTTTTAGTCGAAAATAATGAATAACACGTATCCTTGTACTACACCACCTACACTATAAACATGGCGTCCTCTGACGGCTTGCTTCGGCCATGAGATATTCCGCTAGTTGGTGGCGTACTTGGTTAGCGTCAGTTTTAAGAACGATTGTCGCGCCATCTTTATCAATTATAAATCACTCACTATATAGATATTAAAGTACGTTTATTGGATTTACATTAACTAAACGAATTTTAATATTTATTTCAATTTTCTTTTTTTATCCAATTAGAAATTCTAAATAGCTAAATGAAAAGGAAATAAAGGTTCTAAACGATTAATATGAATGTTCATCGAATAATCAATGTTACTTTTGAATATTCATTTGATAATCGAACATAAGAAGTAAAACTGAATCAGATTGTTGCAAGTTTGAAGAAATTCGCAAAAAAACAGATCAATCCTAATGACTATTATTTCGTTTTTCTATAGAAATTAATGAAATATTTTAACGGTAACAATTATTTATCTGTAATATTTATTTTATACTCTTACTAAAATGTCATCCGATTATATATATGTATGTATTTGCTCATTTGATCTAAATTATATATCATATATAAGATTAATGGTAACTTACGCAACGGTTGCTTACAAATTCTACATATATAGATATGCAGAATATTTAATTAAAGAATTAAAAAGAAGATAGTTTTTTCTTTTTATGTTAATTAATAGTTCAAATTGAAGAAGTTTTATTATTTGTCTACCGTACTTTAAGAATCTTAACCTTGAAATATACGTACACACATATCAAGATAAGGATATATATATATATATATATATATATATATATATATATTTCTGATTAAAATCGATTGAATTGATAGAGCCATATAACATAATTTAATCAACTTTTATTTGTTTAATAGTTCATTTCTTTTATAAATTTAAGTTCATAGGAAGTTTATATCTATATATAGAGTACATAATCATAAGACTATTACTATTTTAGTTACTTTCGTTTTAATAGATCGAAATTAATTTGCTACTCGTTTTTTCATAATCAATTTTAATGAGAAAACTACTAGAATCATGAAAAGTTTTTTTCAATATTAGATCGAAAGAAAAAAGATACATATGTATGAATAACACATGTAATATATTCTTTATATAACATAAAGTTTTTCGATAATAGTTACTAAGCATGTTTTTCCTTTTTCTTTTTTTTTAGTAAAGCATCCTTTTAATTTAGGAATTAAATTAAAAAATTTTTTTATATTTTTATTGTGTGTGCATCTATGTCTAACATATAGTATGATCGGTCGTAAATATACATAAAACACAATATAGGTCAAATGGCAATTAGTTTTTTTGCACGATACCATCCTTTTTTTATTTTTGATAACATTTTCGTATAATTGTGATTCAGTTCCATTAACGTCCGATCGAATTTTATTTTAAACCTCTTCAATAATTTACGGATTTTTGATATAAATATAACTTTTGATGTAGACCAAATAATTATGAAATAATTATAAAATAACCTATCGACGATAAATCGAATTTAGGCGATCAATTAATATAATTTTGTGAAAGAATTTTGCCATTTTGCCACTTTGATCAAAAATGCTATGGTGGACATTTGCCCGATACTACATGTTTCGAACAAGAAATATTTAAAAGAATTTTTTTAAAATGAATGCTTTATTTAGAAAAACATTCGGTAAATCTTATTGAAAAATTCTATATTTACTATGTAAATGTATTTTATATATTTATATATAAAATGTGTAAAAATCAATGTATACTGATCTCTCGTTTTATGTAGATCACTCCGTGATTTTATTTTATAAACAAAATTTATTCTTTAAAAATATTTATTTTTTCCACAAATTTATAAAAAAACTGAAAATTTAGAAAAATTGTAATAACTTCTATTCGTTATCACTGACGGTATAATACTTTTAAAAAATCAAATATTTTTTTTCATGGTATTTTTGCGATTTTTGAAAACATATTTCAAGTTACTGCGTTTCTTTTAATTTATATTTTAGTATACATAATTTTATACGAGTAAATGATTAATTTTGCGATATAATTTGCAAAATACGATTCGTTTCGCACTGCTGTATTTGTCGTATTTGCAAGAAATACGGAGACGTTAATTTTTTATTGTTTGTACATTCATCAAAAGTCAATCAAAAAATATTAGAATAATGTAATTAGTAAATAATAATTAATCAAATAATAATTTTCAACTTATACCGATATATAATAAATTCAATAAATATTGAAAAAAAAATATATTTTTTAATCACATAAAAATATGATAGCATAAACTAAAAACTGTGTGAGAAAAAAGTTTTCGTAAAGAGAGTCAATGTATGGTATTATGGATTTAAAAAGAATAATTTTTTGTTTTTAATTAATACTTAAAATTGAAGCAGGTTTACTTTTCGTTTTTGTAATAAATATCAGGATTTTTAACTTTAGTTTTAATACACGTATATTATAATATACGTACACACATTATACATTCTTCGTATATTATCATTTATTTAATTTTCGAATATTTTTATATTGAAATAAAGAAATTTATTTATATTATATATGAACTTGGCTCGCGTATCGAAAAAGAAAAATCGAGGATGCAGGATATGATGAAAGAGTAAGAAAAAAAACATTTTAAATAATTTTACAAAGAAAAAATAAAAAGAGTGCAATTTTAATGGTGGATTTGTATAGAATAGCCAAATTTCACGGTCATGATTATGAATTAAATCATACGTTCAATAATTATTAATACTTACAATGTTTTCTTTAAGTTTTTTGAATTCCAACCAGTTTTTCGGTTCATTGTTGATTTTTGTGTATTTATTACGTTTTATTTGATTCATTTTAGTTGGTTTTTTTGGATTTTGTTTCCACATATTGCACACTTAAATTTTACTTTTCTTACTATCTTGTTTTTCTCGACAATTTCTGAAACTAATGTTTCTCGAAACTTATTTCTTTTCCTTGTAAATGTTACTTATATAGTTGAAAAATCAATCTGACGTGCCATTACAAATTTTGTACTTTTATATATTAGCCAAAATGGTATTAGGCACTTCGTCCTTTTTCTGATTGGTCAGAAATGTATGAACATCCCGCCCAGTTGGGACTTATTACCTGATATATCCTCGGCCATAAATTTCCTAAATAGATTTGATCACCTATCCTGTCGTGTATGAAAATATTTGTCGTTTTCTGATTGGTGTAAATTTGTTATGCCTACCTTAGTCCTTCTCCAACACTGCTGCTCTCCCACTCTCGTTTTTCAAAAAATTTATTATATATATATATTTTTTAATAAATAATTACATAGAATATAGAATTGGGAGCATTATTTTTATATTTTTTTGTATTTTTTATATTTACAGGTAAATAACAGCCAATAGAAACAAAAAATAATGAGTAAACATAGATGATGTAAGCCATTTGACAAAAATATGTTGGTGACCAAGAATGAAATTGTTTTTCAATTCGTTCTTATTATTCTTTAGAATAAAACTTAATAAGATATCGAATATTTATGCGAATTAAAAAACATCTGTTTATGTTTATTTTGCTATAAAAAAGTTTTTTTATTTTAACAAAATAATAAAAATGAATTAAAAAACAATTTTTTCCTTGCTTGCCAATATGTTTTTGTCAGATGGGTGACGTCATCTATTTTTACTTTCTATTTTTCGTTATTATCAACTGTTATGTACCTGTAAATAACAAGGATGAAAATAGATTTCATGCCAGTTTTGAACATAATCGTGTTTTGCTGTTTGAAGTATTTTAATGAATAAAAAAAACATAATAATGAATATTTTTGAGTAAAAGTATAATGTCTTCGATAATAGTGTTTATTATTATTAAAAATATATACAGAATTTTAGAGTTGCGTATGTAAAATTAATACATAACGTAGCGCCTAAAGCCGTAGTACGCATCTGTATGAGTAATTTTATTTTTATTCTGTTACAATATTTTTTATTTATAAACATTTCTTTCTCTTCATTAACAGGTTTTTTTTGTTCTCTTCGGCTTTTCTAAATTATTCGTTATTTAAAAAAAGAAATCAAGCTTATCTTCAATAGAATCATCTAGTGCAGAATTTTCTTATTTATCATTAAATTTATTGAAATTAAATGCTGATAAAATAATCTATGAATGTAGTAGAAAAATTTATAAATGCGTTAAAATAACTATAAGAATATATATATATATATATATATATATATATATATATATATAAATTTCTATAATAAATAAATAAATAAATAAATATATATATATGTATGTATATATACATATATATAGTTTAGAAGTATATATTACTCTTACATTTTGGCCATTGCATCAAATCATTGGTTCCGTAGCTTCTTCTTTTCTCATCGAATCAATTTCTGTTCGTTTACTATTAGATTTGTATCTACTTCCAGTAATTGATCTTACTTTTCTCCTTTTTTCTTTGATTTAAGAGAAAAAGTTCGTCTTTTTCAATTTTGATTAAAGTTAATGTATCATTATGAGCGATATAAAAAGGATCGTCTAATGAATCAACAAATTTCTTTTCCTTCTTTCTTTTAATTCACTTCGATGTTTCTAAGGCAAATTTTGATACAAAAATAATAATTTTGTAACATTATTTTACGTTTTTTTCTTTTTTTTTTTTTAAAGGAGGGATACGTGCTTAATCCCAAAAAATTTTCTGTTCTTATATCACTATTGCCACCTGATTGAGAATTCTGTTTTATTTTTCGTAGATTGCAAAAGAATATACGAAAAACTTATTATTACTTGGAAATTTTCAAGAAATAATTTTACTTTTTAACATTTCTTTTGAAAATTCTCTTTCTCTTTGAATATAATTCTGCAATATATACATGTCAAAACCACAACTAACATAAATCTATTATTAATTTATTTTGTTTACTGACAAAATTTTTTATAATGAAAAGATCTTCGCAGGTAGAAATATGTGAAAAGATAACAGAATAATGTTTATATTGTATACTTTAGGTATTTTTCCTAATGTCAGTTTAGAAAATATATTACTTCGCATTCTATAGATCTA